ATTATTATTAATCTGTTTAAATTTCATAGGCTGCACTCTGAACAACTTTTCCTTAAATAGGAAAAATTATCTTTGAAAAAAAAATTATTTTTTTGTTGTAAGGATTTAAAGATGGTAATGTTTTTTTCAGGTCAGTATAGGCCTAATTTTCGGCCTATTGCATTTTTCCCTTTTATATTAAAATTCAGCTAAACCACGGGAGAAATTCAAATCAAGATGAAGTTCTATCGATGATACCTGTTAATTTCATTTTGTACGAATTTGCACATTTTGATTATTTTCTTCAAGAAACTGTATTTTTATTCATTTTTCAAGTTATAAATATAAAATTCCAATTTTATTTTTAAAATTTCTTTTAAAAATGTGATCTCTGAACACTATTATAAATGTCCTTTGAGGCAGATTGTAATATTTTTCAATAAATAAGTTTGAAAAAAAATTCTTTAATCCTAACAAAATAATTTGGTGCGCACAACACACAACTTTCACTTACCGCTCGACTTTGAATAGAAATTATTTTCTGGCCATGTTATGCTATTATAAATCTTTGAATTGCATTTTTAACCGATCTAAAGCTAAAAGCTTACAGCTAACAAATCATAAATACTATTAAAATAACAAAAGTCATATTTATTATATCACCGGTTGATTATGGGTCGCGCGATCCGTTGATTATGGATTTTACAACTATTAGTTATTAAACTGTTATTTTCCATTGCAAAGTTTACTAAAATGGAATTAAGAGATTTGCATTGCCTGTCATAGACAGGGCAAAAGTTGTCACACTAATCGGAAGTGGATACTGTTGGAATATCGCAAAGGGAAAATTCATAAAATTATTCACTAATTTAATTTTCTAAAATTTTAAATTAAAACTGCCCTTCCACCCCTGATCACTAAGTATTAGTGACCGATCGAGCGCCTTATTTGGTGGCAACTGGTTAGGCTCTCAAAACATTTTACACTGACATGACACCTACATGATGATCGTGTAACTCATAGAATAATAGGGTTTAGTAAGGTTTCCACAAAAAAAAAAAATCCATAAAAAATTGACGTATGTTTATTAAACAGATGTCGATGGTAAAAACATATTTCTACAAGTCTCTCAGGTGTGGTATAATATAAAATTTATATATAATATAAACAAGTAATGTATTATCCATTACTCTCTCAAAAAGTAATAAACAGATAGAGAAATCTTGGATAATAAAGGCTGCTCTAGACGGACCCAATTCTATAAATTCTGGATATTAAAATAAATATACTTATTAAAATTATTTTGCTTTATAAAATATTTTTCGGGTTTTGAGTTTTTGTTAAATTTATTGTTAGTTTTTTGTTAAATTTGAGTTTTTTAAAATGTTTTTATTGCTCGTTCCAATATTTTTACTGCACAAAAATCAATTATCTATTATCGGCCTACTGTTGTGGACAGATTCTTCACTTCTAGGAAAAATTCCTTCTTGAATAACATTTAATTCAATATTAATTAAGATGAGATCTCTTACAAGAAAAGCTGAAATACTCCTCTTTCAAATAATCAAGAATCAATGAAAAAAAGATGTCTACTTTTTAGTTAAATAAAGTCTCTTTTCTTTCATAAATTTTTCTTCCTGAAATTTTGGGGGAATGTGAGTATTTTTTTCACCTGAAGGAGAATATTTTTAGAATGAGGGCTCAAGCATTCGATTCGAAGAATTGAAGAAGATAAACATACAGACATAAACGTACATACATACATAAACGTACAGACATAAACACCTTTGAGGAATAATAAATAAAGATGGTAGGTAAGTGAAAGTCAAAATGATAATTCAGACACAGTTCTGGAGATCATTTTTTATTATAAATATTTAGTCCAGAGTACTTATCTAGCGGAAGGAAGAGCCAACAATTAAGAACAATTGGTCTATTGCATTATTCCGTAAAGAACATTTTGTTTACTTATGCTAATGCTGACAGAAGATACGATCCCAGTGGTAAACAGTCTTTTCAAATTTATTTACAACGCTATGTCTTGTAAAACACCTCGGATGAATGAGCCAGTGATGAAATAATGTTAAACAGAAGTCCGGCTTGCCTTTAACAACAACCTCAATTCAAGGTTGCAATAATGTAAACATTTTCATTTGGGTTGATCTCATGTTTGGGAAAGATTCTGTGGTAATTTTTAGATCAGCAAATGTTAAAAATAAATAAAAATATTATTTAATTACAAAATAACCCTACTCCAGTAATAACCAAACCTACTCGAGGATATTTATACGAAGGGAATGGTACTTCCATATCTACTTAAAGACCATGGTAGACTTTGAAAGAAATTGACGGCTACAAATATTTAAACTTGGTGTACTTTCCATCCACAAACCAATGAAGGGCGAATTCTACTTGCCAGGAACCGCAATATGCAACCGACTACTGCACCGACTTTTAAATATTCGTAGACTACAATTTCCCTAACAATCCACCAAGTTGTTTAAGCAGGTGGGCAACTAACGAACGGGCTATCAGGTGGGAAGTAAAAATGAACGAGACGGAAAGCGTATATATTGTTTTGATACTAAATCATGGCACATGCCCACAGGTTTTCTTCTATAAGGTTCTTAGAAATGAATTATTTGGAAATTTATATTATATCTGACAGGAGACTGACATGGAGAGCTCATACTAGACTGAAAAGAAAACAACCAAACGACCGATTTGGACTGTTATTCCTTTAGGATACTTTTTATATCTGAAATTGGTGACATCAACAAATTGTTTTATCTTTTCGTAAATTTATATCATGAAGTATATTTTTTTAAATTTATTAATGTAATCGATTAGTAGACTACATTTTCAGTGCTCAAAAAATTATTGTTCTAACGTTTTCCTTGACATCAGTCAAGCTTTTAATAAGGTATGGCATTAAGGATTGCTTTCCAAGCTCAAATTTTCGCTTCCTTCCATTTGCTATTTAATATTACTTTCTTATTTGAAGGACAGACACTTTACAGTAAAAGTACGCAACGAATTATCAGCCATAAAACGTGTTAGAGCAGGAGCTCCCTAAGGCAGCGTACTGGGACCACTATATTTCAACATGTTCACATCAGGCTTACCAGAACCAGACTTCACTGGTAACATTTTTCGACGATATTGCACAACTTACAACGCTCCTAAACCTAATTCTCGCATCTGTTTTCATAAAGGTCCATCTTGATATTTTTAATTGGACTATCAGGTGGGAAGTAAAAATGAATGGAGACGAAAAGAGTATATGTTGTTTTTACACCAAATTATGGTACATACCCACAGATTTTCTTCATTAATGTTGACTTACATACATGTTGACTTTTACTGACAAGAGAGTGACATGAAGAACTCATACTAGACTAAAAAGAAAACAAGAGAACAAACGACTAGGACTGTTATTCAGGCTAATTGTTAGAGGCTCCAAATTATCCTCAACGAACAAACTTACTATCAACATATTAATTATAAAACCTTTATGGACTTACTGAATATAAGGAATTTCAGTTTTGCCAACTTATCTTGCCAGGTTATCTTAAACACAAGGCGCTACTCATTTCTAGGCCTTGCGCACCTAACATTAGGTAAATAATTCTAATAAAGATTATTTACAAATTCTCGTTTAACATTTCCCTTCCAGCTATACATGTGAACGTAGAATCGGTTGGGAGTTGATTTGAACCTTCCCGAACGTATATTGGAATACGGGAGAAAGGTATTTCCCAAAGAATATAAATGGTGGAACTTCCCACAGAATAACAAAATATGGCTCAAAGTATTGGAGGTTGATAAAAATTTCCCCAAAACATATGTTGGGAAACTTTCAAATCTGTTCAGATGGTGTTCTCAAATTGTGAAAAATTCAATTTACTTGAAAACAGTCATTATCTTAAAATTAGTTCTTCAAGTTCAAAATAACCAAAAACTGAAGAAAAAAAGGAGAAAATTTCGTATTTTTATGTTTAAGAATGTTATGTTCCGTGCTCGATGTCAAAAACTTGGATTATTCATTCAGACATTCTAAAAAAATCAGACATTCGTAAACAGATTAAGCTTCTAAGGAATGGTTGTAGCACATGTTCGTTAACACACCCAAACTCATCATAAAGCAATGGGCTATTCGGTAAATGGCATTTAATCAACTTTTATATTTGAAATTCGAAGGCAAATGTTTTTTTGTTTTCTTATCAATTAGAATTAGGTACTATCAATTAAACACGAAATAGAATTATTTATTAATTAGTTACAGCTCAATCTCACATTCACTGGTTGTCATTAGCATTATGACAGGTGTGAATAAAACATTAAAGCTAAAAAAAAAAAAAAAATTAGTTACAGGTACTTTCTAACAGTATTCACATGCTGTTCGTAAATTATATCGTTCAGAAAAAAATTGCGATTATTGTTTATTCATTTGAAATCGGCTTGAAAATGAGATTATTTATTTTTATATTTTCAATATTCAAGACTTAAGAGCCCCTTATGCAACTAAATTTGCGCAAATCATATTGAAAACACTTAGATTATTTAATAATACTAATTAATGAACTGCGTATAATCTTTGACTGCTTGAGTACGGGAGCATAGGCAAGTCCTTTGCTAGCATTAGCTAAGGAAGCGAGAAATTCTGAAAATATAATATATATATGTTTTTTTTTCTTAAAGAGATTTACAACTGTATTAAATAAATACATTTAGTAAATTTGAACATAATGTATATAATGACATTAAAACACTTGCTGAGTAACTACCCAATGGTAGCACTCTAATGATATGTTTACATTAGGAGATCACGGGGCCATCTTCTTTTCAGACGCCTCGGAGGGTTATCAGGAAATGAAGAGGAAGCAAGGTTAGAAACGAGAGGGTTGGGATGATTCTGAAGTTTATTATGGAAGAATAGGTATCTGGATTGGGCCAGATCTGAAAATATAATGATAAAATGTAATTATTGATATTATTAAATGTGCTTTGCAATATCTTACCGGGTCCTCAAATATTTTCGCTGTCCTTTCTTCAGGGGATTGGCCTTTCTTTGATCTAATAAGGACGTATATGTGTCGGATTTGAGGGACTGTTCTTAACAGCTTCTCCACCAGCACTTTCCCGACGAAACCAGTCGCACCCGTCACTAATATTGATTCTCCTTCAAAACTTTTATCTGTGAAATGAAAAAAAAAATGCGTTAGGACAAATATTTTCAAACTTAAATTGGTATTTATTAATTTATTTTTTTATTTTATAAATAAAGTTTTAAAATTTAAAACTAATAAGGAAGACATATTCTTCCAAATATTTCCATTAATTTTACTAAATAAGTATTTTTAAATATGTATAAAAAATCAAAATATATTAATATGAAAAACAAATATATTCTCAAGAATCCTTGGCCTGTTGTATCATTATGATGTATTTTTTATGTATGTATATTTGTATGTTTTGTAATCAAAAAGTGTTATGATTGAATCATGTAGTATTGTTATTTTTATTTGGGACAGAAATGTTATGCTGTATTTTCTTTATATTTGCTTTGTTATTTATCTCCATCTCCACATATATTATTACAGTAAGGCTCGAAATCGGTTTTGTACTAAATATAAGCTCCTGTCATGTTCAAATACCATGAATGAGGTACCGTTGGATTCAGAATTTCTCAGGGGGTTAGCGAATCATATTCTCCACTTTTGTTTTTCTTTCTAAAATAAATAAAGTAGATACAAACATTTTGCTTTGAAGATTTTGATACGTACAGCCCTGCGTTTTTGAGCCCCAAAACGTACTATTTTCGAGATAGCCCAAGGCATAGGGTTCGCATCCTCACAACCTTAAATTAATTGTAGTACTGTCATTAAATAGATGTCTCATTTTGTCGACTTGAGGCCCCTATGATCGAGAGAGTTTATATTATTTATCGATGGTGTTTTTGATTGGCAAGCCATATCGTCGTTAATTCTTCACCAAATCTCAAGATTGAGCCACTAATTTTGAAGTCTTCCTTCTCCTTCAGGCAGACAAAATAGTTCAATCACCCCGAAAATTCAAACAAACAAGTTATGAAAAAAAAGAATCTTTATTTGCGAATAACTAAAACATTACACACTTTTCGCTTAGTTATACACATGATTATATAAAAGATTACTAAATTCCCTACAAAAAGGAAAAAAATCATCGAAATCGGACATTTTTTAGTAAAGATACAGCTTCTTGAAATTTGTAAACATGGTAGTTCCAAGCATTAATGAAGTTTAAAATTAATTTTTGTTTCCTTTGTCGATTATATTTATCGATAAAGTAACACCCATCTTATGATACGTTGCATTATTTTATTTCCTTATTAATTTGCCATTTGATCACTTAACAATATGCTGTGCGAATTTTTCGCACGGGCCTACTAGTTTTAATTATTAGCCGTTTCCAAAATTTACTCATTGCAAAGAAATTTGATGATCACAAATTTAATTTTATGCCTGTAATTGATTTTTGGTTAATAAATAAATAAAACATATTTGCTTTGTAGAAATTAATTGTATGATTCACAGTTTAAGATTAGTGATTAAGACAGATACATAAATTTGTAACTCTGTTATTATTCTTAGGGGACAGTAGTCCCAGGATAAAATTATTTTTTCATTTTCATTTCATTAGTGATAAATGAATTCAGTCAGTAGTTAGTAAAGCCGTTTACTTTCTATCCGTGTTAGTCTCGTGTCTTAATTCCGAACATGTCATCGGTCTAGGTATAGCCTAACACATATGAAACAACGATTTTGGGTGGCGCCAATAGAGATTATTCATTATCAGTTGGAACAAAACTAATGCATAAAAATGTCGAAGCTGTTTCTATCCAAACATTGCGAAAATGTAAGATTTGATTTAATCTCATATTGCTTATAACCATCTCTAGAAAGGTGGATGGAAGATATTCTTGTGAAGTGAAAGAAGAAATTGTGGGATCATTGTATGATGAAATAATAGCTGTGTCATCGGTGAAAGTGTATAAAGCTGTAAAAGGGTGTTAGAGAATGCAAACTGTGTGCAGAGAATGTGTATGAGGATATGAGTTGTTAATTATCTAGAAAATTATTAATGCAAATAGCAAGTTCTATAATGGGTTAAACATGTTTTTTCAAACTAGTGGAAGTGATTTGAAAAATGGGAAAATTGAGTTTCATAAGAATGTCATTTATATGCCAAGGGAAGAGAAAACTTTAAAAGTACAATTTGAAAGAAAAAAATTATCTTATAGTCTGTTCATAAAGTAAATTGTATCTGGGCACAATTCCCAATTTGGGGTGTGGGATGGCCAAGCCCGGCAACCTCATCAAAGCTTACGAGTTTAAATCCCGGTCCGAGTGGCTTCGTACTCTGGCATTAAATAATCCCCCCCCACCTCCCCTGGCCTGGGGAAACCCCGAAAAGGTAAGACGAGAACGAAAAAAAAATCCCAAGTTTAAGATCTGTTAATTTGTTCTCCAATACAGCAACAAAATCTTGAAATGTTTGTATTTTTTTCCTTGTAACTGCTAGCCAACATCTATGCTGGTGCCAACGTCAATTGACATTTCTTAGGCACCATGTTAAAGTAACGAATGTTAACCTACCCAACATTCAGAGGTGCCCAGAAGGGGGTTTCACAGCGCAAGTTCCGTCATAAATTTTTTGAAGGAGGCATATTTTGACGGGTTTTTTAATTTTTTTTTCGGGGGGGGGGACAAAAAATTAAATTATAAAAAAAAATAAAAAAATAAATAAAAAAAAATAAAATAAAAAAATTCGACGGGATTATGAATTTTCGGACTAATGGATAAGGATAACACATGGAACTGACCGTAGCAAGTGTATTTATGTATGATCTACAATTTTCCTAATTCTATCTTAGTTCTATCTAATTCTATCTTTCTCTGTTTAAGAAAGGTATCTTGGGGGAGGGGGCCAGATCTTATGGCCATCGGGCACCATTAATTATATAACCTATGAATATTAACAAATTAAAACAGCCAAAACGACCCACATATGAAAACTGACAAACTTTCAGGATTACAACTAAAGCTCCATGGTATGTCACAAACATCACTTTAAATAAACAAAGACCTTCGAATACCAACGGTAAACGACGGCATACGGACACGCTACAAACGATTCCACGATGACTTATATGGACATACTACTATGGTTAAATTTAACATGCCCAAAAACACACTTAATAGACTCAAAAGAAGCTAGATGAGGGATTTCCAGGGGGGAGCTTGAAAATATATTTAAATCAAGACAGGAAGGAATGCCGCTGGGCAATCCTCTCTCACACGCCGATCAATCCACTACCTCTACTTTTACCGACAGCGGACCCGCTAATTGTTATTATTTTTGACAGATCTGGCGTGAATATATGAAGTTAAAAAACAACAACATTTAATAATCTATTCATTCCTATGTATGAATATCTGAGGACTCCGAAAGAAAAGTAACCGAAACTAAATATAAAAACTGTTATGAAAATATGCTAATTTTTAAAATCGGTCTTAGAATGTTCTAGAATGTTCGGAGAATATAAGTGGATTTGATTCCAAGTACATTAATTAATTAATCCACATTAATGTAGCGAAACATTGATCCTTAATTTCTTTCAAGTTGCTTGAATTTACTGATCTGTCAACAGATGGTACATCTCATTTTTATCTTTTTAATCACTGAATATCAAGCTAGATAGTACCCCAAATATTATGCAATATTTCTGTATAGAGTCAAAGCCTCCCAAGCGTTCACAAACACATCAATAATGATGTTGATGAGAACTTGATTCGAAGGCATTCAAATTTATTGAAGTGAAAAACTGCATAATTTAAACTCTTAAATTAATATCTCCTTTTGAGTAAGCTTTTGTAAATTCTGACTCATATATAATTAATATTTCATCAGAATCTAAAATCAAACCCGTACCTAATTGCATCGAAGCCAAGTTACTTCACATTTGTAATTGTTACAATAACAAGATGAATACAGTCTCTATTTTTTTTTTTTACAATTTTTCGTACATAATTTTTTTAAATTTTATTTATTTAGAAATATAATAATCTGTCTGTAATATAATAATAATTATAGTGAGATATGAACTTATTCACACCATATATACAGAAAACAAAAATAAAATAATAACTAAATAATAATCAAAAACTATTGTACACAATAAAATTAAGAATAAAATTCCACCATTATGAAGCGTCAAATGGATAAAGAAGATAAGTAACATTTTTGACTTTTTAGAAACTGAAATCAAATGATTTGCATCTACTAAAAGGCTGATGTTTATTTTTTGTTATTCGTTCTACACATAGTTGAACGAAGTAGGTATCCCCTAAATAAATAGTTAGCATGGCAAATGTAAGTAAAGCTTAAAATGCCGTTCTTGTGGAAATATTTTTCAAAGTAAAATTATTTTTCATTTTATTTTTATCCGTAAAAAAATTATCTTTAAAAAAACAAAACGAATGTGTGAGCTACAAACCACACGATAGAAGTGAAAAAATAACATCAACAAGGCGAGATTAATAATATGAAATATAAATAATAGCTCATTTTAAAGAGGTGAAATGCTGAACATTTCCCTCGCTTCCAGTATGGAGATCCGATTTTTAGTATCTGAGATATTTAAATCCATATCTTCAATAAAACTCGTAATTATTTGTTTTTCGACAATATTTTTTCCTTTTCGCCTCTAACAGAGCGTCCGGTCAAGATACAATTTTGAATAATAGGCATTACATAGAGGATGAAATGCTGAACAATTCTCTCGCTTACAGAATGCAGGTCAGATTTTTAGTATCTGAGATATTGTAATCTATAAATTCTACTAAACTCGTTATCACTTGGTTTTCGACACTATTTTCCTTTTCGCCTCCCTAACACGGCGTCGCGTTAAGATACAATTTGGATTACAGAGAGGATGAAACGCTGAACAATTTTATCGCTTTCAGTATACAAGCCCGATTTTAAGTTTCTGAGGTATTTTAATCCATATGTGAAAGTATTTCAATCAGTCGACTCTAGCAGACTTTACCCGAGCGTTAACACTTCGGAAATCTGACGGATCAATCTGATTCTGAACTAATTCTAATTCTTAATCAATTTAATAATAACTCTGCAAAATGCGGCTAAAGAAGTTTT